CTTACATGGTGTCCCCGTGATCACCAGCTGAGCATGTCGCCCAAAATAGCCCCCGCTGGCCCTCCTCCTGCCCGTGATGGCCGCTGCCTCCGCCTTGGACTTGGGTGCGCCCTGGGGCCTCGTGCGCCCCGAGCCCGCGCCCACCCGCTTCCACCCGGTGCACGGTGCCCACATCCGCGTGGACGCCTCCGGGACGCGGGCCACCCGCGTGGAGAGCTTCGCCCACGGCGTGTGCTTCAGTCGCGAGCCGCTGGCCCCGGGCCAGGTGTTCCTGGTGGAGATTGAGGATAAGGAGCTGGGCTGGTGCGGACACCTGCGCCTGGGCCTGACGGCGCTCGACCCCGCCAGCCTGCCTGCCGTGCCCGAGTTCTCGCTGCCCGACCTGGTCAGCCTCGGCCACACCTGGGTCTTCGCCATCACGCGCCACCACAACCGCGTGCCTCCCGAGGGCCACCCGGAGGCGGAGGCCTTGCTTCCCCGCCGGCCCCCGGCCCTCCTGGAGGAGCCCTACCTGTGCATTGAGCAGTTCCGCATTCCCCGGGACCGCCTGGTGGGCCGCAGCCGGCCGGGGCTCTACAGTCACCTACTGGACCAGCTCTACGAGCTGAACGTGCTGCCCCCGACCGCGCGCCGCAGCCGCCTGGGCGTGCTGTTCTGCCCGCGTCCTGACAGCACCGCCGACATGCACATCGTCATTAACGGCGAGGACATGGGCCCCAGCGCCCGGGGCTTGCCAGCAGCGCAGCCCCTCTACGCCGTGGTGGACGTATTCGCCTCCACCAAGAGCGTGCGCCTGATCCAGCTCGAGTATGGCTGTATGTACCCGGGCCCCTGGGCTAGGAACACCACCACCACCCATACCCTGCCCGGTGTGGGGTGCAGGAACCTGCTAGGACTCCCTAGACAGCTGATTCGAACTTGGACCCACGTTCGAAGGCGCAGATCTGGTCTCAGATTCTGCCACTGCTCGGGACCTCAGGCCAGTCTCTCTTAGAAAACGCTCTTAAGATTTAGGCAGACCTTCAGAGGCCTCACGGATGCTGGGTAGAGAGCTGCTTAATGGGGAGGATCTCTGAGCTGCTGGCATACATTCTGGGAACTCAGGCCCACTCTGGGCCAGAGCTGAAGGGGGTGGGGGACGGGGCTGAGGTTCATCAGACACTCCCTGGGTGCTATTTGGTTGAAGGGCAGCCCAGGGACTGTGCCTTGTTCCAAAAGTCCAGCGGCATCACTGAGGGAGGACACAAGGGAAGGTGCTTCTCTTAAGCCACCACGTTAACAGCCCACGAGGTTGGCTGCACTCAAAGAGCAGAGTGTATTTGTTGCGGTTAACAGCGAAGCAGGGGCTCAGCCTCTTGAACCCACCCTGCAGCTGGTGTCTTCTCTCCCCAGTGCCCTCCCTGCAGACTCTGTGCCGCCTGCTGATCCAAAGGAGCGTCGTGCACCGGCTGGCCATTGACAGGCTCCACCTGCCCAGGGGCCTGAAGGATTTCTGCAAGAATGAGTGATGGCCGGCAGCGGCCGGTGCTGTGTGGAGGCTGGCTGGCCAGAAATAAACACCGAAATAAAATGCTCACACTCTTGGTCATTTTGCTCCTGCAGCCCATGAGGGCACTTCCTTTAGGATCATTGCGGGTCAGCAGTCTGAGCAAGTATGAGCATGCTGGGTGACTGCACCCCAGGGGGGGGGGGGCGGCGGGATTAGCTGGTCACTAGGATTCTGAGAGAGCTGGTTCCTGGGGGAAGTCTCCTGCAGTTTGTATCAGGGATTAGGTCCCGTCTTTTCTTTTGAAAGCCTCACTGGAGTTTCTAATGGGCAGCCATCCGGGAGTGCTTCCCCAGAACTGTGCTCCTCGGCCTGGGCCGATATAACTGGTCTGGTGTGGGGCTAGGCAGTGGGATTTTGAGAAGCTCCCCCAAGATATTCTAATGTGCAAGCCAGAGGGAGACCCAGTGCCTGGGACAAATGTTTCATTTTCTAACTGGTAAATCCGTGGCAGACAATCACACCGCCACGCAGGGAATGGACGGCACGCAGTCCTCTCCCACCGCAGGGCTCTGAGCCCAGGCTCTTTCTCTTGTGACTCTGCTTGTGTCCTTCCACACCGAAGATCTCGCCTGACCTCACAAGGCCCAGTGAGGTAGTGGGTCATGAGCCACACTTCGCAGATGAGGGCATCCAAGTGACTTGCCCCAAGGTAAGGCATGACCGTAGTTCCAGGTCCAGTGCTCTTTTGAGTCCCCTCCCATTGTCATAGTTGGGCTTTAGAATGATCCAGTCAGTGCTGTGAGGTAGGTTCCGGTGTGAAGAGGAGGGACTATGAGGTAAAGTTCTAGAAGGGTAGAGAGGGTAGGACAAGAGATAGGTGACTGTTTCCTCACAACCAGGGCCCTGGGGTGGCCATGTCCTACTTCATGTCTCCACAAACTCATCTGGGTCTTCTGCCTTCTGGGCAAGGTGAGTGCGGGGCTCCTGGGACTGGAGGGAGCCCACCTTCCTGCTTTCTGACATAGCTTTCTGCCTCTCGGGAGAGGAGAGCTCTGCTGAGCCTCTGGGCTGGGCCTGGGGTAAATCCCCAAAGTTCTTGCCAGTGACTACCCACCTCTAACACCTGCCTACTGAGTGTCCAGCACTGGGGATAGGGATGCCACCTGGCCCCGACCTCAAGGCAGCTGAAGCCTCTTGAGCTAGTTCTAACGGCTTCTGCTCCTAGTGCCCTACCCCTAAGCCCTGTCCCTCAGGGCCTCCCATCAGGAGACCAAGAATAACTCTCCATCTCATTCCTCTTTCTTCAGGTGGGGCTACCTCTCCAGGCTCCTCCCTTGGTGTCTACAGCCCAACAGAGCCAGCGGTGGTGGCCCCTGGTGGGTTAGGCCCACTGAGCCAGCAAGCTGAGCAGCGGGCACCTGCTGCCCAAGCCTGGGGCCCAGCCCTGGCTGTACCAGAAGCCAGGGGCTGTCCTGGGCGTGCTAGCTGGGAGCCACTGTGGCAGAAGGACTACGGCCGTTATTGCCCCAAAGTCCCTCCTGTGAGGCGGCCAGAGATCATGGGCTGGGAAGATAGCCGCTCCAGAGGCCAAGTGCCCCAGCTGGGTAGCCTCAGCCAGCCCAGGCCCCTGCTGCTGTGCGGGCTGTCACCAGGGGTCCTGCAGGTGCCCCCGGAGGCAGGGGGGCAGGAGGCCGGCTCTCAGCCCATCTGCATCCTAACCTTGGCCATGATGATTGCTGGCATCCCCACCGTGCCTGTCCCAGGCCTTCGGGAAGAGGACCTGATCCGGGCGGCTCAGGCCTTCATGACAGCCCATCCAGAGCCAGAGGGAGCCGGGGGTAGGGTGCGGTGGGAGCAAGCACTCACTCACTCGCCTTCCACGCAGCTCCCTGTAGTGAGAGCCAGGCGAGGCCCACCCCCAGGTTCCTGCTTGTAGTTGGATGAAATAGCACCAGACATGCAGGGTGGTTTCTCTGTATGGTGTTTTCTATTTCTTTTTGTGTGGGTGGGGCGGGGTAGCGTACAGGGGTGGTTTGAGCCACTTCTGACCAACCCCAGTTCCTCCTGAGGGCCCCATGCCCTAGCCTAGGCTGAGCTAGGGCTCCTCAGGGTCCCTATGAGTGAAGTCGCTGGGGGTCTAGGCGGCCTGCCAGGGAGCCTTTTACTATCATTTGGGAGAAGCAATCAAAATACCTGACATGAAGTCCCTCCTGACATGGGCAGGGATCCTGTCCTGCTGGCCTTAGCCCGCCCAGCTTCTTGAGGGAGGACGATGGGCCCAAAGGCAAGGGGGACCAATGGGTAGCAGGTCCAGGACACATGCACTGTCCATTGAGGCCCACAGCCCTGTCGGGAGCCTCTGATTTTACAGGTGAACAAATAGAGGCCGACAGAAGTAAGGCAGCTTGTAGAGGCTTCACCAGGACTCAAAAAGCCAGGCAGGGCAGGAGGGGGAGTGCCATGCAGCCTCTGGACTCCCGAGTCTGCAGGGTCTTCTCTCCAAGATCTACCCTAACTGCTCCCCACCCTCCCCCCAACCACACACACACACACAAAACCAATACCCCTATGAAGCACCAAAGCTGGATGGACACCAGCCAACTTTAATCAGTCCCGGGTGGGGGATGGGGATCTTCTCCGGTGAAGCCTTCTTGTAGGCCTGCTCCCTCCGGGGAGATGGATCAGGTGAGTCACCTCTGGGTAGGGAAGTAGGGAGCACGTCAGGGCCCTCAGCATCCTCTCTCAGTGCAGCTGGCTCCAGGGAGGACTTGTTTTACCTTCTGAAAGTGCTGGCCCAAGGGCACCCTGAGGGGCGTGAGAGTGGGGAGGGGAACATGGCTGTCTTGGGTGCTCAGAGCTGGACCTGCTCATAGGGACCAATCCAGCTGTCAGCAAGCTCCCGCAGGGTGCTGTAGCGCCGCTCAAACTCCTCCTGGCTGCAGTGCTGCAGCAGCCGGCCCACCTCCCCCGAGAGGAGGGCAACCACTAGGCGCTTCTGCAGTGGCTCGCTCCACTGGCTGCCCAGGATGCCTTCGAGACCTGCAGTGCGGCCCGCCTCCCAGGAAGCCGGCAGGGCGTCGGACTGCAGCACCTGGCGGTGGGCACCGAGGACAGCCAGGATGTGCCGGCAGGGCAGGCGGAAGGTCTGGTGGAAGTAGCAGCTGCAGCTGGCCGGGGGCTGGGGCTGCACCCGGTGGGTGTCCTCCAGGATCTGTACATTCACCTTCTCGGAGCCAGAACCGATGAGGTGCACAGACTTTTGGACGACGGCATACTCCCCCAGGCAGAGCTGTGCGGCTGGCTCCGTGCAGATGGCGCTGAGGGAGTACTGGATGCGGGATTCCACCAGCTGCGCCCCGCTGGGGGAGCTCAAGGGGCCGGGGTCCGAGAGGGCAGTGCCATTCTGGGGGCTCAGCCCCGGGCTGCAGCTGGCCCTGTCGCCAGAGTTCTGCTGCAGATACTGCAGCAGGGCGGCGACACCTTGTTCCACATGCATCAGGGTGCCGTACAATTGGCTGAGGGTGCGGGCGGTGACCTCCAGGCCCTGGAAGTAGAGGCTGCTCTGGGCACGGCTCCGCCAACGGTGGGCCAGCCAGATGCGGTCGCTGAGCAGCCAGTGCAAGTGGAGCCCTGGCAGCTGGGCCGGCGGGATGCAGATGCTCAGGATGGTGTGCAGCTTCCTCAGGTTGCTGGCCGTGGCGGAGCACAGGGTGCTCTGCAGGCTGCTCAGGAGCAACTTCTTGAGCGAGCACTCCAGGGACAGCTGGTAGAACTGGCCCTGGAGGAACTTCCCAATGTGGAAGGCGGAGAGCAGGACCTCCGCGGCCGGGAACTCCATGGCCAGGGTGGGCAGCGGGAGGAAGTGGGGGTCCACCAGGATGGTACAGACGCTCTCCCATGCAGAGTTAAACTTCTTGAACACCTGGAACATCTGGGCCAGGCCTTCAGCATCCTCCTGGGTGGGGATGGCGAAGTAGACGGCCCGGGCAAAGGGATCCTCCAGCGGCACCCGAGGCCCATCCACCAGGAAGGTATACAGCACCTTACCCATTGGGTGATGGGTCCGATGGATAAATAGGATCTCCGGGTACTGGGCAAAGACCCCGTGCATGGAGCTGCTCTGGTAGTTGAAGGTCTCTATCTGGGCAGTCTTGCTCAGCTGGTTCAGCAGCGTGGCAGGGTTTTCGTCCTTCAGGGGGAGCTCATTCAGCATAATCAGGGCCATGGGGGAGGTGGGACACTTCTATCTGATGAGGCCCAAACACTCCCCACCGGCCAGAGGCTGGGAGTTGTGATCCAAAGGTGGGTCTCTAGAAGGGAAAGGAGGTTGAAGGAAATCAGTGGGGATCTGGCGTTTCAAAGATTCATCCAGTCGACATTTAAGAAAATGTTGGGCTGCGAACTGGGGGGTTGGCAGGCAGTTCAAAACCACCAGCAGCTCCTCGGGAGAAAGACTGGGCTTTCTACTCCAGTCAACAGCTTTAGTCTCGGAAATTGACAGGGTGGTAAGGGATGCAATAAGAGGTTAGCAAGGATCCCTCTGTGTGAGAAGGAAGGTTTCAAAGTCGGTCAGACTAGGCAAAGGGGAGGGAGGGATGAGTTAGCTAAGGTGCTCAGGGAAGGAGGTGACGTGGCCCTGAGGCCTACATGATCAGCATGGCTGGAGCTGCTTATGACTTGAAGGATGTATAACATCTTAAAGGTTTGAGCAGCACTTTAGACGTAGACAATGGTCTCCACCCTGTTATTTGGTCCTGGTATATACAAAACTGAAACTCACTGCCGTGGGGTGGTTTCTGGCTCAGTGACCCCCTGGGGTGGCACAGGATTGCTCCTGGGCTTCTGAGACTAACTCAGAAACTGGAGTAGAAAGCCTTATCTCTCCCTCGGAGCGGCTGGTGGTTTCCAACCGCTGACTTTGTGGCTAGGGTCCCAACACACAGCCACTGACTGCAGCACCAGGGCACTCGGTATAGACGAGATCATGGGCAAGTTAGTGACCCTCCCCGGGCGTCAGTCCTGTCAACTGTACAACGGGGCTAACATGCCCACAGGCGTGTTACATCTTACATCTCCGAACTCTCGTAACTGCAATGCTCCATCCAAAGGTTTCCTCCAATAGGGCTTCAGACTGGAGCCTTGTCCCCATTCTACAGCCGAGAGAAACTGAGGCTCTGAAAGGTTAAATGACGTCGTCATTCTCTGAGTAGGGATTTTGGGCTCGGAGACTGCTCTCTACTCAGAGGTTAGGTTCCAAAAAGCAGGGAAGGGGTGGCCTTTGACCTCTCACCTCTACCCCGGATGGGAGGATAAGGACGTCTGACGTTCCAATTCGTAGTCAGGTCGGTGCCGGAGACGCCAATCTTCCACCCCTGTCGGAGCTGTGTCCCGCCTGACCCCGGTGATCTGTTGCCTCACACCTCCACCTTTTCCAAAAAAAATCACTTACCTACAGCCAGGTTCCGTCGCCATTGCTCCCAATTTGACCCTGCCCCGGCTCTGACTGACCAACCAGAGCCCCAGCTTCGCGGTGACTCTGACCAATGACCTGAGGAATTCGCCTTTGGGCTTCGGGGCCACAGACCAATAGCTGCTCAGTATCTTGTAGGCGGAACTATCACCATGGTTACAAGGGAGGATCCCGGGGGGTGGGGGCGGAGGAGAGCCCGGGGGCACTTGCATCCCGAGGCATGAGCCCTGAGGCTGGATCTGGACCCTCCCTGGGGGTAAGCGGGCGCATCTTCGAGCAGGAAATGAAGATAAATAACCACGTTTTACGGATCTTTAAGATTCAAACACCAGAGCCTCCGTAACACCAGAGCCTCACGGAGGTTGGGGATGGGAGCCTGTATAGTTACATCTGTCTTCCACCTTCAAAGGAACCTAAAACCCAGGTCTCATGTTTTGCACCTTCCTAAGGCTCAGGGTCCTTCCCCTCAAAGAGCAGGGAACCCCAGAGCCCCTAGAAAGGCAGTCCTCACTCATCTGTCAGTTTGTCCTACTGTGTTGCTGTGATACTAGGAGCTATGCCACTGATATTTCAAATACCAGCAGGCTCACCCGCGGTGAACTGGTTTTGGCGGAGACCAAGAACAGAGTGGGAAGGGAGACATACAGGACGTGGTAGAACTCTGGCCCTGTGGGTGCAGAAGCTAGTGGTGTCGAGCTGTGACCTTAGGGTTAGCACCCCAACCCATAACCCACTATGCCATTAGGGCTCCCAATTGGGGGGCGGGGACTCTGAGTCAGAATGGGCTCCACAGCAGTTTGAGTTTCCAGGAGAAAGGAACCGGTGGTGGTGGTGTCCAGCAATCCGGTCTAGAGGGGTGTGGAATTTTTTAACTTGCTGCATTGATTGCCCAGGGACAAGCAAAATGTTTCATGAATCAGATAATGCCCAGGAGAACTCATCCCAAGGAAATTTAATTCCTGCTGATTGGTTATCAACAGATCTCCTGGGAGTGGCCTAACATTTGTATGTGACTCCCTGGGCGTGTGAATTGCAAAGTAAAAAGTACTTAATGTTTTCCTGATTTCAAATGGGCCAGCAAGAGAGCCAGCCGGGTTTCAGTCCCTCCCCTCCCACATCTTTAGATAAATTTCTCTTTTTCTAACTTGAGTGAATTGGAGTTACTGCTTCAGGGCACAAACCCTTCTCAGAGGTAAAGCCATGCTGGACTCAGTTTCTTGAAGTTGTCAGTCAGCCTTTCCAACAATCTTGGGAAGCTGGCCGGCTACCCGGCTGTTTGGGGCTATTGAGTGGGTTCCGGCTCATTGCTACCTTATGTACAATAGACCAAAACACTGCCCGCTCAGTCCCTATTTCTCCGCACCAGTGTTGTTAAAGCCCGTTGCTACCGCCACTGTGTCGATCTATCAAAAAAGAGGGTCTTCCCCTACCAGGGAGCCTGGTGGCACAGGGGTTACATGTTGGGCTATGACTCCCAAGGTCAGCAGTTTGAAACCACCAACTCCTGGGGAAAGATGAGGCTTCTATGCCCAGGAGTTAGTCTCAGACGCTCGCAGGGGCAGTTCTACCCTCAATGGCAGCGAGTTTTTTGGTCCACCCCACCAAGCATGGGACCTTTTCCAGCAACTGGGCTCTCCCGAAAATATTTCCAAAGTACGTGAGATGAACTCTCACCCTCCTTGCCCCTAAGGAGCATTCTGGCCGCACTTCCTCCGAGATAGATCTGTTTATTCTTTTGGCAGTCCATGGGACGCTAGGCCTTAGGCGACGACTACTACAAATTGGCACAACAAAAAAACCCACTGTGCTTATTCACGAAAATGTTTTTACAAATCTCTCACTGTTGCCAAGTTGATGCCGACTCACAGAGTCGAACTGCTCCATCGGTTTTTCAGGCTGTGAACCTTTATGGAAGCCTCATCTCTCTCCCAGTGGGTAGTTAGAACAGACCCTCAATTACCATCCCACCTTTTAACCTATGGCACGACCAGGTCCCCTTTGGATACACATACATGGGGTCTGGGGAGAACAGGGATGCAGGATCTGACCAGGTCAACACGTTTATGTTCACAGATGAGGAAGCTAGGTTAAAGAAAAGCTGTGACCAGGCATGATGCTAGCACTCGTTAAGATGCAGGTGTCTTCCCCTCATCTATGTGGCTTTTCTTGATGGCCTAAGGAACCCTGGGGGCGGAGCGGTGATGCACTGGGCTGGGACCTGCAAGGCCCCAGTCTGAAACCTGTCCTGTAGGGTCACGATGAGTCAGTATTGACTGGATGGTGGTGAGTTTGGGGGTGTTGTTCTGAAAGCATAAGGCTAATCGACAGCCTGCAATATACAGATGGCACAACCTGGCTTGCCGGGAGTGAGCAGGGCTGTTAACACTTGCTGATGAAGACCAAAGACTGCAGTCTTCAGGATGGACTGCCCCTCGACATATGGGGCACCAACGTCCTCACCTCGTGGTCAGTGTAGAAACGTAGACGTTGCCAAGGAGTTGACTTACTCTCAATGAGACGTACCCAGTGGCTGTGTGGCTGACACAGGATAGGGCAGTGTTGCATTCTGTTGTGCTCAGGGTTGCTAAGATTCAGGACTGACTGGATTGCACCTAACAGCGAGCCCATGGGGTAGCATGAAGTCAACCGGAAGGCCCAGCTACAGTGGTAAGCCTGGGGTTCTATTTGACTCCATAACCCCATTAAATTGATAATAGTCTGCTTCCTGTAAAATGAGCACCGCCAACCTAGACCTCCCACTTCCGCCAGTGTCCTCCTGCGAGGCAACCCCAGAGGCCAGTCCCCTCCTCCCTGTTCAAGCAGAACACATGTCCCTGTGACCTCCTTAAAACAAACGGACACCTTTATTGAACGTGAATAAAAATAAGTATAAAGGGCAGATTCTTCACGAAGAGCAGCAGCAACAATAGTCAAGGGCCCCCTCCCTCCCTTGGTCCCTGAAAGCAGGCCCTTCTTGCCAGACCTGCTTTGGCTCACGCGACCCTGGGCCTGGGGCTTCATCTTCCAAGAGTAGGTGAGACGTGACCTCAGGAGCCGGGGTGGGAAGGGGCATGCTTTCTCAGCACGGTGAGAACTTTGGCCTTGAACAAGGAAGGAGGGACTTGAGGAATGATGAGTGCAGGGCACATCCCGTCAGACCCATCTCTTCCCGAGGGTAACACTCCTCCTGGCATAGCCTGCCACTTGGAGCTCTTTGACTTCCAAACCTAACAGGGGCTTGGAGGCCAGGACCCCAGCGCAGGTGCTTCACTCATGAGCGGCAGCCTCGGCCGGAAGGAGGCCCCCCCCTTCCTCCTGCTCTCCCCAGAGAAAAGGGAGGTGCCCCACATCCTTGAAGTCCCCGGGCTGCGCCCAGATGTCCACGACCTTTCGCAGGGTGGAGCAGCGCTCCTCCAGCTCGGGCCCTTCGCTCTGCATCAGCAAGTTGGCCAGCTCCCGGCTGAGGTCCCGGATCAGGCTGTTCCGCCCTTGCTGCTCCGGCTGGCCTGTGTTCGGGGCCAGGACAGGCTCCCGGAACTCTCCTCCGGGCCCTAGGAGATGCTGGTACCTCTTCTGCCAGCGGCAGCACACCATGGCCTCCCTGACAGGCTGCTGGCTGGTGTGCAGCAGGGCCAGAATGTGCCGGCAGGGCAGGCGGTACCGCTGCTGAAAGGCACAGCTGCAGCTGCAGCCGTCTTTGCTGGCCTGGTGGGAGTCCTCGAGCAGCTGAATGTCCACGGCGGAGCCGGCCTCGCCTAGCAGGTGGGAGGAGTTCTGCACCACCTCCCATTCACTCTGGCATAGCTGGTAGGCCAGCTCGGAGCTGCTCTGGCGCAGAGCCTCCAGCATGCCACCCTGAGGAGATGACAGCGGTGGTGGTGGCGGTGGTGGCGGCGGCAGGCGGGGCTTTGTCTCTGCCACGGGGAGGCAGGAAGGTCGCCTCAGGGACCCGCCACAGCGGGTCTTGGACCTCGGTGGTGTTTCGCCCGCTGGCCGGGCCCTCTTGAGCTTGGGAGGGGCCGTGGGCAAGTTCTTCAGTCCTTTGGTGTTGAAGAAGTCCATGTAGTCCACAAAGTGCAGGATGCAGTCCAGGAGGGTCTGCTGCTCCCGGAAGAGGCAGGACACCTTGCTGGTGACGATGTCGAGGCTGTCCATGTAGGTGCTGCAGGCGTGCAGGCCCTTCCTGACGTGCACGTACCACAGCAGCTGGCAGGAGAACCAGTGGGCCTGTAGGAAGCCGAAGAGCTCCTCGTCCAGGAGGGCCTGCGACATGTGGGAGAGGCTCTGCAGGCTGGCCTCAGACGTGACGAACACTGCCTGCCGCAGGGCTTCCTTCATGAGCTGTTTGAAGGCCGCGTTGGCCGAGCTCCGGTGCAGCTTCTTCTCCAGGAGCCGGGTGGTGTGGTAGATGGAGAGGAGGATGCGGGCTGTCGGGAAGATCTCCTGCAGGACGCTCCGGTGTGGGAAGGCGGGGTCCACGAAGATCATCTTGACCTTGGGCCAGTCGGAGTTGAACTCGGTGAAGATGCCCAGCATCTTGGCCACGGAGGGGGCCGTCTCGGCCTGGAGCATGGCGAAGTGGACCACGCGGCCCTCGCGCTCTTTGTTCTCCACCAGGAAGGCGTAGAGGACGTGGCCCTGGGCGTGCTCCACCCGGTGCAGCAGGAGCGTCTCTGGGAAGCGTGCGAACAGCTCGCTCATCTTGCTGCTCTGGAAGCTGAGCCGGTCCAGGTCTTGGCCGTTGCCCACGCTGAGCGAGGCCATGGAGCCTTCGTTGGCCCTGAGAAAGTTCCTCATCACTTTGGCGACCTTGGCCAGGTCAGAAGAAGTGATGCCCTCCTGCCCAGGCTTGGGGGACTCCTGGACCGTCTCTAAGCAAGGTGATGGGCCAACCGGAGACTTCTCGGCACCGAGGGCTTTGTCCGGTGGGCTGCTCGTTTTCTGTTGACATGCTGTCTTAGGAGACCGGTCCTCAGGGTCTTGTTCAGGGCCGGCGGCCTGAGAGTCGCCGTGTATATGCTTGGTGTTTAGTTCGCTGATAAACAGTCTGTCCAATTTCTCATCGTACCGCAGGGACAAGTACGCTGGGCAGGTGTCGGCAGCTGGTGCCCGCTTCCTGTGCGACTGGGTCCGAAAACAGACAAATGTCACCTGCACATATCTAGGGAAGGGAGAGGTGACAGTGAGAACGGTGCTGACCACCCACGCGCTCACCAGAGAAGGCCCTGTTGCTAGCGCTCCTGGACACTGGCATTGCTGATGTTTCCTGGGGACCACAGGAGGAAGGGGGTGGTGAATTGAGGCTAACTCTCAAGTCCCTAAGTAGTCAGCCCTTTCTTCAAGACACTCCACCAATGGCAGTGCTCCACATTTCCCCCTAGTGCTCTTCGAAGGCCCAGTACCTTCACTCACCCTCTGCTGCCCACTTCCCCTGCCACCAGCCCAACCCGATGCCAGATCTAAGGGTAGCAGCCAAGTGTGTTCATTGTTCACACCACCCAGGGGCTCCATCAAAGAACAAGACCGTCTCATCACAGTGGAGGAGTCCTGGTGGCCGAGTGGAGACACAAGGGGCTGTGATCCCCTGCAAGGTCAGCAGTTCGAAACCTCCTCCGCAGAAAGATGAGGTTTCTTTCCATGAAGAGTTTTGATCCCTGAGCCGTGCGACGTTCTCTTGGGGGCTTATTTTCTGCATCAGCCCGTGGCAGTGTGTGTTTGGTTTTCCAGCTGGGGAGGGAAGTCTTCAAGTGCCAGGACAGCGCCATTCCCCACCACATTCCAGACACTGTCGCTTCCTAGGAGCCCAGGTGGCAAAGGGAGTGACACACTGGGCTGTAAACCGAAAGGTCAGCAGTTCAAATCTCCAGCTTCTCCGAGGGAGAGAGATGAGACCTTTCACCCCCGTCTTGTAACTCGTAGGGGCAGTTCTCTCGTCTTATAGGGTTGCTATGTTGGAATTGTCTTGATGGAGATTCATTCCCCAGATGCTTATCACAGATTTTTGTAGGTGAATCACCAGTGGGTGAGGCCGGCCACACACCTCTGCCTTCTGCCTTCAGAGTTCCAGCCCAAAGACCAAATAACAAAACCAAGCCCATTGCCTTCAGGTCCAGTGCAACCCATGGGACCCCACCCCCTCGAGTTGACAGAGCAGAGCAGTAACCTCTAAAGAAAGCAGCTCACTGCCAGGCCTTCCTTTATCAGCACA